GGCAATTTGGAGGATGTAGAACGACCAATCGACCCTGAAAATCGCCTCACTCGACACTTCAATCGACAACAACATCAGCAGGAAGATCAGCGCGAACTTCGTGAGGCAGAGGCTGCAGAGCGGGCTGAACTGCGTGGAGTCCTACTGCGCCGACTTCGCCAACTCTCATTAGCCTCCATTTCCTCGAATGTCGACAGAAATTTTGTGGGAAGCTCTTGCGGAGTTGGTGAACCAAATAAAATGAGTCATGAGAAATCGGAACCTCACTCACGCATGAATCAAGTTGGAAGCCTCCATTTGCCGGCTGGCGGAGTCTTCAAGGCAGTTAATGAACGTGAATGGACCGTGATCCCTAAAGACGAAGTCTTGCCTTTTTCTAGTTCCAGGACCCGGTTCGAACAAGATTCATCTATTTTACCTGACTCAGAATCGTCAAGTCGAGTCAGGTCACCTCAGGCTTCGCTGGTTATACCAACATCAACGCTTTCCGAAGTACTATCTGACTCGGATATCGGAGGCGGTGAGGAGAATGATAGCCAGTCCTCAGTTCAACCCCCCGACTACTGGACTCGTTGGGGACCAGAACCCTACAGATTGAAGGAATTACGGCTCTCAAAAAGAGACTCTCTTAAGCAAAGTTATAATAAAGGGGGGCTAGAGAGGCAGCAAGATAAACTAGATAAAGAAAGAACTGCGTGTTCTGACCGAGTTGGTCAGACACAACATATGGAATCCCATTTATGTAAAGACCCTGGTCATTGGAGCAGGTCTGAACATGGCAAGGCCTCCAAGTGGTCGAAATCTCTTATTGAGTCAAATACACCTGCTCAGGTATGCAAAAGAAAATAAGTCTCTTAAACCTTTTTTTTAGCATACTAATAAGAAAACTGTGAGGAAGGGATATTAACTGTGCATTGAGAGGTTTAATATTTAGCCTAATAAAGTCCCTCAATTTATGTTAAATAAAACCTGAGCTGATTTTAACATATAAAGATAAGATCAAATATAATAACTTCATTATAAAGTTGGTCATAATATTTCCTCTCAATAATACACTCAAGCCACTAGTTTACCTTCTCTATACACACTTTTCAAGCACTTCTATTGCCATCACCTGGTCAATTTGGGATCTATGATCTGTCTCCATGAGCTGCTTGCGACGTATCGCCGACATCGTAGTCGGCATCTTCAGTGAGTCTTGCCACTTAGCATAACACTATATTTCGTAAAAGAGACAAGTGAAGCCGATCATTTGACCAATTGTCTGCTAAACAATCGTAGCATCTCTCCTTCTGTCCTTCCGTCACCAATCCTATATTCTCGTATCACGCCTTCACTATAACAATTTTTTACTTGCTTATTTAAATGTGGTAT